CCTGACCACCCGTACCCCCAGGCTGCAACCTTCTATAAGGGAGTTATGGTGTGATAGACACCCCAGAGTCTTCTCAGAGGAGTCCAACTCCTTTTAACATGTTTTTCCTTTGCTCCCAGCAAGAGTAGGTAGAAATAAGCAGCTGTGTAAAAACAAGTGGGAGCATGAAGTTAGCAGCCAGGGATGCTTCCAGCTGGGAGCCGTGTCCAGAGAGCCACCAGTACTGGTTATAAACACAGGATCCCAGGTTGGCTCAGGCTGAAGGGAGCTCAGAGGGCACCTGGAGCCACCTCCCTGCTCCAGCAGGGCCATCCCAGAGCACAGGGCACAGCATTGTGTGCACACAGCTCTGGAACAGCCCCAGGGAGGAGAGCCCAGAGGCTCTGTGGGCAATGTGTTCAGGGCTGGGCAGTGGCCAGGGAAGAAGTTGTGCCTCCTGTGCAGGGGGAATTGCTGGGCTCAGTCCCTGCCCGTGGCTCTGGTGCCATTGCTGGGCCCCCGGAGCAGAGCCTGGGCCCTGCTCGGAGCCCTCCCTGCAGACAGTCACATCCCGCTGGCACTGCTGGTAGCATGGAATGATGGCATTGTAATGACCTATCCAGAAAAGCTTAGAGAGGCTTAGAAAAGCAAAGAATAAAAAGAGGCATCCTGTGGAAAAGCCTGAGCAGCACAGTGGTGACACATCAGGTTATAAAACAGTTTGGGCAAAAGCATAAGCAAAACATCCCCATGCTGATTATACCCATTTTCAGCTAAACCCTCACTGCTGAATAAATACCAGCTTGTAGCTAAGGAAACAGAGTTATCTGAGCTTTTGGCCCACAGCACATCCTGGAGAGATCTGTATTTTATACAGAGTCAGACTTTATTCCCTACCTGCATATTCAGGCTATTGGTTCTGTAGCTGAGGATTTTCAATGAATAAATAAATTTTCGTGATCTATTTAGTCCACTGGCGAAATTCTGTTGGAGTGTGCCTCACCTGTCTCCCACCTCCTCAATAGCCAAAAGAAAGTGCTAATGCAAGAGTATGCTAAGGCTCAAACAGGGTAGGCAAAACCTGCAATGCTGAAAGGGAAAAGAAAATAAGGGAATAAGTAAGGAATCTGTAGTTGGTTTTAGTAGGAAAAGGATTTTGCATATTACAGCAGTGTGCAGGTGAGCTGCTGTGTGTGAGGGAGAAAAAGACAACTCAAAGAGTTTTCTGTTAGAGACTGTAAATATGACATTAAAAGATAATTAAATAAAAACTGGTTTGTGATCCCAGTTTGTGTTCCAGAAAGGGATTTCTATGTTCTGAGTTGTCAAGGACAGACAGTTTCCCCACATGAGGTCCCTTCCTTGCTCCCCTCACATCACATTAAATCATCACATCCTATTGTATCCCATTAAATTGTTCTGATATGTATTTTCAATAGTTTCACAGGATATTTTCTATTAGGACAGGGAAAATCTTATCAATAAGATATCATTCTATGAGGAATCACAACGGCTCCAGTTCATATCCCAAAATTCTGAACAAAGCCTTTACACAACAGCCACATTGCCATTTTCACCCTCCACAAGTATTGTGATGTTCTTTTTTTGGTCCTTGTGTTTTCTTTATATCTAAGTTGGAGGCCAAAACCATTTACAAACATGCCTGTTCCAAATGCAACATTATCAAATTGTTCTCTCTTCTGTTCTCCTTTATTTTTTTTTCTTTCCATCTTCAGTTCTGGTGATGCTGAGGGTGGTTAGTTCATGACTCACATTTCCACAGAAGCATTTTTTTTTGTTCTCTTGCAGTGCAATCAAATAGTCTTGTCCTGAATAATTTCCTTGTTACTGCTTCATATATGGATTTTCTGTAAAGGTGCATTCATTTCCAAAGCAAGCTCTATTCAAAATGCAAGTGAGAAAGTTAATGTACCAGCCTCTTCTGAAAACACCTTTTTTTCTTATAAATCCTCCTGCTCCTCACTGCTTTGGTGGCCTGTAATTGCCATTAATGGAAGTGTATTTCTTTAGCAGTGAAAGGGCAGAGAACCCAAATTTTCCTGTTTTCCAGCAGAGCATATGCCATTAGCTGGTCTTTCCAGGAATGAAGAAAATGCTCCCATTGCCAATCTGAGCATTGGGGTAATTCCCATAGTACAGAACTCACTGCCCACACCTGTACAAGTGAGGCATGGTTTCACCTCTCTGGGTAATGCTTTTAAACCCTAAGATATTAATTACATGGTCCAGGGAAGAAAGTGTCAGCCCCTAATTCTGTGTTCTACTTTCCTTCTCATGCAGCCTCATTCTTTCACTGTCAAGGAACAGATCTCTAAGCAAGAATCTCTTCCTGCTGGCTGGCAGCCATTCCTTATTATCTGATGAGTGGCCTTAATTTTAGGAGAGGAAATAATCATAGAATCACAGAATGATTTGGGTTGGAAGGGACCTTAAATATCATCCAGTTCCAAACCCCTGCCATGGGCAGGGACAACTTCCACTATCCCAGGTTGCTTCAAGCCCCATCCAGCTTGGCCTTGGACACTTCAAGGGATCCAAGGGCAGCCACAGCTTCTCTGGGCACCCTGTGCAAGGGCCTGCCCACCCTCCCAGGGAACAATTCCCAATTCCCAATATCCCATCTAACCCTGCCCTCTGGCACTGGGAAACCATTCCCCTTTGTCACTCCATCCCTTGTAAAGAGTCTCTCTCTCCATGTTTCCTGTAGCTCCTTCAGGCACTGGAAGGCCACAATTTGGTCATCTCAAAGCTTCTCCTCTCCAGGCTGAACAATCCCAGCTGTCCCAGCCTTTCCTCCCAGCAGAGCTGCTCCATCCCTCCGATCATCCTGGTGCCTCCTCTGGGCTCTCTCCAGCAGCTCCAAGTCCCTCCTGTGCTGGGCCCCAGGGCTGGGGCAGCTCTGCAGGTGGGGTCTCACCTGAGCACAGGGGCAGAGGGGCAGAATTCTCCCCTCCCCTGCTGCCCACACTGGGGGCTCAGCCCAGAGCACAGAGGGGGTTTTGGGTCCCAGTTTTCACCCACAGCACCCCCAGCTCCTTCTCCAGGGCTGCTCCAGCTGCTCATCCCCTGGATTGATCCTGGGAGTTGCCCTGATCCAAATGCAGCACCTTGCACTTGTTCTTGTTAGCTGTTGTCAGCCTTTGAGCCTCACAGAGCCAAGGCAGCAGGGAAGTCATGGGAGTGCTGCAGTGGGGGCACCCTGGGTGTCACCTCCTGACCACGGTCTGCATTAACTCAGGTGGCCCACAACTGAGTGTCCTCAATTCATTTGGTTTTAGTTATTCTCCCTAATCAAGTGAATTCCAATATGAGGGCAGAAAGCAAACTCAACAAGATCCCAAGTTTCTGCATCCTCCAGACACCCCAGCTTTATTGTTCTCAAGTGGATGAGCCTTGCAGACACAGAACAGGCTGGCAGTGGCTCGGCTCAGCCAAGGCACACACGGCAGCCCAGGTGAGCAGATCTCGGTGA